GTAAATACCTTCCAATCTTCATACTCCATCTTGCAGGCCGCCCGAAAGCGCTTATTTCTGCAGCGAGGATCGAGGATACACGAGAGCAGCCTTTTCGGAAGTCTTTTGCTGACTGAAGCGCCCTTTTATTGGATATCAGTTATTGTTTGGACGCTGGAATTGTAGTTTGATATGATCATATTACAGTCAAAGGCAGTAGAGAGTCTGTCTGTCAGCAGGAAACACTTTTAAATGTTTCCCAGTGTTCAAAAGACACCACGACCATATTCTGGATTATTTAATAATACGTTTACAGTCACAATATCAATAAATACAGATGCACATAATGAACAAATATAAACGCATTCTGCCAGTAGAAATGATCCTTGTCCACCTTATGAATCATTATTTTACAGGTCACGTTTTCTATTTATTCTTGTTTTAGATGCAGCCTTAATTTCTTCTAATTAATTAATGAAAGTAGATACACTTTCATCCATTTTAAACTTCACACACGCATTAATGTAATGCATTAACTTTACTCTTGGAATTCTATTCAAATAATACACACAAAATAACATTCATTAACATTAGATCCTGAATTTTAAATAATCAATGAAGCTACTGGGCCTTGTGTGTAAATGCACACGTAGCATTAAAGGTCCAGTGTGTAGGATTTATTGCCATTTGATTGATTTAGCCTATTTTATTTATGGATTATCAGACACAGGAAATGTAGCGGTGTAGTTGCAGATTGCAACTCGTTTCACCCTCCTTTTCCAAGCACGAGGAAGAAACTACAAAAACACAAACGGTCTCATCTAGAGCCGGTGTTTCATTGCTTCAAATAGATCCTCCTAAATGTTACACACTGGAGCTTTAATAGCTATTAACATAGCCATGAACATCAAATATATATATACAGCAGTATATTATCCTACACTGTATATCTCCTTCGTAAAATAAGACCATCTAAGTCACACAGAGAGCACTACCCACCACAGGTTGTGCAGTTCAGTTCCTCCAGGACATTGCAACAATTAATGCAAATTAAACCAGTCTTCTTTATTCTGCACAACCTTGCAATTTTGTCCCATAACCACACAATAACAACACCTACAATCATTGTAGTTTCCTGCGAGCTTCACTAATCAGAGCAGTTCCCCACGCAAAATGTTGAGCCATACGTGACGGCCTACGATTATACAAAAAAAGTGCAACTAAGTTTGTAATTTTCACCTTCTCCCACAATTTCAGTGCAAAAAAAAGGCTGAAATCACTGCAACATGCTTGCAAGCCTTTAGAATTTTAAGCTGCAGGGAAATCAGGCATTTTAGGCCGCACCAATACCCCCAAAACAGTGGTCTGATCCCATGTTTGGATGTCATCAGTTAGTGTACAAGGAGAGATGGAAGGACGGTCATTGGTGACAATAATAGGGACAATAAAAGACGCACACTTCTTGCTCATTCATTTTTTTAATTTCAATTAAGACCTCATGTCATGAGGAAAGAACAGAGAGCAAGACAGGCTGTCAGGACCAGCTGCTAAAATACTTGTTAGCTGTGAACCTTTTTTTGTTTATTTGGGGATTTTTTTGCCTTTGTTTGTTGTTTTGTTTTCTTTGTTTGTTGTTCTCTTTTTTTCATTTATTTTACCTTGTTTTATACAAGAGGCCTCGTGTAACCTGGCAAGGGTAACTTCGTCCAGTTTATTTTTAGCTGTCCCAGCTTCAAAACATTTAGTCCAATCATCATGCTGTGGAAAAAACAAAACACATGCAGGTTGAATTTTGCCTTCATGCAAATGTCTCACACACACACACACACACACACACACACAGAAAACTGTAGAAACATGGTGGTTCAACGTGGTGGAAAACTCAACGATTCGACTATTCAGGCCCTGGATGAAAATTGTAGATAAACACAGTTATGGGCCACTGTTGAATCTGCCTACCTGCAGTGACATCTTGCCGTAGCGCACATAGGTGGTAAGGTGTGCACAGTTATTTTCAAAAGTTTCACAGTGTTTAGTGGCGTTGGAGATTCGCTCAATTATGTCTTCCTGGGTTCCTGGATTGAAGCCTTCAATCCCATCAAGGTAGTTCTTTTTTGATGTTACTACAATTCCCCGAAGAGATGTATATTTGCCAAATACACAGTCTGGTTTCCCAAAACCTGTTGGTGAGAGTAAATCTTTTAGAAACTTTATATGTAAACTTGACACAAAATCTGTTACTCGCTCCTGCTGTATTTGATCCGCTTTTTGAGAATGGGTTTCTGTTTCTTCTGCACAAACAGGCTACTGTAACTGTACAACACTTACAGCAGCCTGAAACTACAAAGAAGAGAAAGGAATGGTTTCATAGCACGACACAGCTACCAGTTAGTTGTTTAAAGTTAAACATTTACACTAACGCGTTTATCTGTGCATGGAATGAAAGAACTTGGCTGCCATCTTGGGATCTAGTTTGCCATCTTATCAGCAGGTGACCTGTCTCTTCTCTTCCGATGAGTCCAATGTGAAAAAAAAGAGAAAAAAGAGCTTCTGGGCATTATACATAAGCACACTGACATTAGGTGGTTTGCAGAAATGATAGCACCCTCTCTTGTTATCCAAATGTTATAGCACTGGAGACATGCAAAGAGACTCTGTTAAAGACGACAAACAATAAATGTATTTCCTATGATCAGGATGTGTTACAGAGCAGAAATGAACACATAATTGAATGATGTCTTATGGCCACATTTTAGACTGTAAGTGTTGAGGTCTTAAAAAACTAATCACTGTACTGATTCTATGCCACCTTTAGAGATTAATATTCAATAATTTGTTAATGTGCCACTATGATCTAATGTTTTTTAGTTAAGCTAGTAGAAATTAAAAATGCACACCAAACAAAAGCTTGGGTCTCAGGAGGCTAGAATATATTAGGCAGATTCTTTTACATTAACACTAAAACTGTGGTCAGAGTTTTAAATATACATAATTTCATTTTTATTGTATTTACCTGCGTTGTGAAATACGTCATTATCACCTTGGCCGACGTCTATCTCTGTACTTGGACCTACATATATACCATGGTGCGAGTACGGAAACGCCAGGGTCGTGGGGGATTGGGCGGGACAAGGGTGTACAAATGAAATTATATCTCCAAATTTGTACTGTGAAAAGATGAAATCAGATGAATTAGATCAACTTTTACATTCAGTACAAAGTACAACACAATACTCAGATTGACTAAATAATGAATGTGGATAGGTGATACTAAAGGATGAAACTTCTTATAATATCCACTAAGGTACAGTGGATATTCATAATAAGACTTAGGGTGTTATTACAAACAGTTCTTTGGTTGTGGATCCCTTACTTTTAATCCTCGATCAAGGTCTCTTAAGTTGGTCTATAATGTCCTGTAAGTGCTGCGATACAAAGAGCACAGGCCTTGAAATGTGCTGTGAGGACTGTACATTATAGCAGTGGCTGTGATAAATATATTATCTGAAGCAATATACATTATTCAGAATTGGGTAGTTTTGGCCGATATATATATTTATTTATATATAGAATCTTATTTATATTTATTTATATATATATATGTATATACATCACGATTTTCATCACCTTCATTGTCTTTGTTATAATTAATGTGCTACTAAATTCCACCTTACTACTCATTTAAGGTTGAGGAGCAAAATATATATTTTTAAAAGGGTATTAAAGCAACTTACCTCCTTACTAATGTCTTTTTGTGTGATCACCAGCTGAAGCATAACAGCAGCCAAGATTAGGTTTTTCATCTTTCAGCCGCAGAGAGCTGACATGGGGAAATCAAGAGAAAATGTAACAGTTAATCATGTTAAGCATTTTGAAAGAGAGAGACCTCACACATGAAACAAAAGCAACTTTGTATAAAATATATATATATATACCGTCTTACAAAAATATTTCCTCAGTGATCGTTACTGGAGAAATCTTTGTAATAATAAATGTTTCAGAGGTCTTACCTTCTTCTGTGAGATGGTGGAAGCCTGTTGGTGCAGGTGGAATGGGTTCTTCTTATACATCATATCTTTGTCCAGCCCACCGGGGGCTGTTAGTTATCAAATACATTTACATAGGCCTATGCAGTATATGCCGTATGTTTGTTTAAATGACCTCTAGCAGAGGATCCGCTCCCCCGTGGATAAAAACGGCTCATTCTAAAGCAACGAAAACAAAATAATTCCTTTTTTCAGGTGATTATACACT